ATTCGTCTTCATTTGCATAAACTTTAACTTGGATTTTCTCTATCAAACTTGGTTCATTTCGTAAAAAAATCGGTACACAATGAGAACAAACATCATAAGTTTTCTAAGCCGTTCAATAATCTCGCAGATCGTGGTTTATCGGGTCTAAAACCACTCGGCTGCACCTCGTGTTTTATACCCGATAAAACACTCCTGCTCGTTTATTAAACATTACTTATACTTGTAAACTCCCATCATACTGATTCACGGAACAACGCGTGTAGCTTATTTAGTTGTCAGGTCCAGAGTATTAAGGCATTAAGGCGTTAAACACAGAAATATTACAGTATTTAGGGTTTTTAAACGCTTAAGACTACGACAAAGATGCACTAGAATCTGGTTACTGGCACCTTTAATTCTTGTCTTATTCATAAAGGGATTGAATAGCACTCAGCATAACAGTTTAATATATTTGGTTGAATTCGCTTATTTGACCACTGAACCGGTGCTTGTACTGATATGCTGAGTGCTATTCAATCCCTTTATGAACCAGATTGTGCATCTTTGTCATAGTCTTAAGCGTAGTTGTCTAGCTTTTCCTTCACCGAAGCCGGCTCTGCGACAGAAACTAAGAAAGGAAGGTAAGTATAAGCAATTCTATCTTTTTCAGTCAACACTGAAAATATCAAGAAGAAGAAGAATGGAAAAAAAGGAACCCTTTTCTGAGTATCAGTAACATTAGCATGCACAATCTATGAAAAACAGTTATGTAAAATAGGAAAATCTGATTGTTTTCTGTAAAAGGGCGGAAAATGGTCTATAGCTGCGCGGTTTGTCCAGATGAGCTGACTTTCTACTTTTGCAAATTTGCGAATTTTAAATTTCTATGACGCTAAGTTTTCGCTTCTTTTCTTCGCGCAAAAAAAAAAAAAGAAAAAAAAAGAAAATCATTAAATGGTTTTGGTTTTGCGACATCCTAGACTAGACCAATAAAGTACTTCAGGGCAAAAGAGTTGAAGCACAAGGACTATTCTTCTCGAGAGCACCCCTCTTTTACATATATTCTTATTAAAGAAAACCTTTTCAGTGAAGTAGATTCTGAAAGAACGAGGTTGCACTGTTCGATAGTAGGAAGGCATCTTGAAAACGATATCACACAGAACAAAATACATGTAAACGGGTATATACGAACTATAGTTAAATGATGGAAAAAATTCAAGTGATCCTAGGGGGTAAATCAGTGAGTAATTAAAACGATTACCATGTGCAAAAAGTCTTGAAAAATGCAAGACTTGAACGGGAATCCAACACCGTACCACACCTCCTGGATCATACTAGAAACCTCTATGATGCATATCATCATGTTAGGGAATACAGTTAGGATCAATCTTTTTTCTTCCGGCTAATTCCTACTTTTGAATTTACATAATCAACAAGATTTCTTTTCAGTGTTTCTCACTTCAGTAACGTTGCTAATTTAAAGGTTGATAACAGCGACACAATAATTCATGAGTTTTATATCTTTTAATTATTCCAATGGTGGACATATGTTTGCATTTTTTTTGTGATCAATTTTCGCAGTCTTCACGATGCCTCAGTTTTGGAGTGACGTCAATAATATGTCACTATTTCAGATCGATTATGTGTATTAATCACGTGTCCCTTAGACGTAAGTGATTGATCTCAAACCCCCGATAAAGATAAAATTTGCAAGCCCCTCTGTCTGCACAGTTCTGGATTCCATCCAAAGCAATTTCCGATCAGACCCTTTCATAAAATAAAACTACAGGGGCACAGAAGGACAGACTGTCAAACTTTGTTGTCTTCACCAACAGGTCTGTTTTCATTCGAGTCTAGTCTGCTTTAAAACTGCTTTTCATATATAAAGTTAACAGCACCTTTGTACCGTCTTTAATATTTTCAAATTTTAGCTCTAACCGGTCATTACGTAGCAGCAAACAATATTTATTTATATATTTATATTTATATTTATTTACACAGCTTTAACCTCGTTTTAAACAAATGGTAAATAAATAGCCGAAATAATAATAATTTATAAATATTTCTGGATAAGCTAACAAAATAATTATCAATCCTGATAAGGTACGCACTCAGAGCTTGGCTCCAAATTAAGTACCACCAGTTATATAAGATAAGCATATAAAACAATATTTGTCGTAATAATTGTAGACTTACTATATATACGTATAGATATAGATCAGATAAACAAAATTAAGAAATAGTTAATATAAGAAATAAAACTTCCTATGAATAAAGAGAAATAATGATAGGAAATAAAATCAATATGTGCCAGCGTTGTCATGTAACGGAGAGAGAAGACAGCTTGAAGATATATGCATATTTTATATCCGAACAATTGCATTTTAATCAAACAATAATGTGCCAATTAAGAAGAATTCTACTCGAAATTTAGTGTAGCTCAAAAACACCGGGGCATTTTTCTTTGGTCGAATATCAAAAAAATCCTGGCTTGGCCCGAAGATTATCCTAATGGTTAGCGTTCGTACGAATGGTAAGTGTTTGTTTTAATAGATCTTAAATTCTAATTGGTATTCGGCTGCAAAGTCTTTAACGACGAACGCCTGAATTCCGTTCTGTGATGCATGAGGCAAGTTATAATCATCCATTTGTTATCCTTTCCTCATGCTTTATTTTTCTACTTTTTTGTTAGATATATTTACAAGATGTATTTAGATACATAAGAYATTTATATTTGTGTTTATAACATAGATATCTCTAGGTATCATGTGAGGCTATAGACTTGTGGCGATACTAAAATGGTTCCTATAAGTTAACAATTCATAATACTGTTTCAAATGATTAGCTTTTCCACGCTATAGCTTTATTCGGATCAGGACTGCTTATCGTAATTATAAGAGTAGTAGTTAGTAAGGTTTTTGTTGGAGTATAGTWCGACGCAAAGTACTAAGTTCCCTTGTCTAATCCGGTCATCTTGCGTTGATTAGTATTAGTGGATTAGTATACGGTAACCTGTACAAATGGTTAGAAACAGACATCAGCTTGTCAGCTTTCATTTCAAATCCAGGCTTCCTTGAATCAAAAATCGTAGGCATTTTTTTTCTTATACAATGAATATTATATAAATATTATAACGAGAGTGAAAGCTGCAAAAAGGATCGTCTTTGAGCATATTTTAAAGATGATGATCTTCCCGCTAGCTGTAGATTATTACTAACTTTTATAATAATCTTGATAAACTTTAGAGTCCAATTCTAACGAAAAAACTTGAATATCTGTTAACCTTCTCCAAGCCGACTTTTGACGCATTACAGATCATTTAAGAAAATTTCAAAAACGCATCTTTTTCCCGATTAAATAGCGTTTCCATTTTGGGAAGTTTTAGAAAAAGTCAGATCAGGTAATCAGCTTCGTCTAATAATCTAGTAACTTGAACAACCCGGTGCTCTATACATATGGCGAAGAGCTTTTGGAACAATTGCCCCAAAACTATGGAAAAAACTACCAACTCGCCGACACAATCGCATCATTTAAAACAGGACTTAAAACGAACATTAATATTTGTATTTTGATGAGTACTATAGCAGGAACCTTTTATCTTAGTTTTACTCTGTAAACGCATTGGAAATTTTAAATGCGTCTCTATGAACTTTTCATTATTATTAATATGTTATTATTATTATTATAATGATTTTAAAATGTTGTTTTCTGGTTTTACTAGAAATGAGTGAGTTTAATACAACAAGTTGTTATAATCAGATAACAACATGTGCGAAAATATATTAACAGTACAACGAACCGTCTGCATATATTATATTATAATCACGGAAGATATGATATATTTTACAGGAGAGAGGGGAAAACGGGGCAGCTTCGATTAGCCGATAACTCTTTAACGTATACAATAACGTTTAAAGAAGTGCTACCATGCGTTGAAGAATATTTATTGAATTGTTTTCTTCCAAAGGARGGAAGATCCTTTTTTCTTATTTGTGTTTATTTATCGAGGAGAACTCTTGAATTCTTTAACTTATTCTTAAAATTAAATTATACTGATACAAATGTTTGGTTTTGGTTGTTCTGTCGTTAAGACGAAAAGTGCTTTTAAGACACGTTTCTCAAGACTCAAGAACTTTGAATACGATTAATTGATGCGACATGACGGAGAGATCATAGCTGGATGCCATCCAGATATATCAATGGCAATTTTTAAACGAAACCTTGTCATGAACGACCAAATGGAAAGTTGTGCTTTTTAGTTAACGGCGAATCATATTTTAGGATGGAATTTTCAACTTTATTTTTTTTGATGGTTCTATAGTTTTTTTAGAAAACRTCGCTCATTTTAATAGGACTTGACGTGTTGGTCACAAAAGAAATGATGTTACCAAGTTAAAGTTTGGACGTGATGGGAATGCGAAAGGATAATGAATTCGTTAGCGCAAAAGAACTTTTTAAAGTGGTAGACAATAGGTACGACGCGTACGTCATACGACACTAAGTCATCTGTGTTATCGGTCTAGCCCATTGACATTTAAATTCTCTACTTTCACATCCCAATAATACTTTGCGTCTTTGGGGGGTAACCAGAAGGTAAAAACCGACTTATTTTGCTGAAGGCTGATCAGACAGTGTTGGCAATACCTTGTTTGGTATCCAAAGATAAAATGAAGAAGTAAAAAACAGAAAAAGATAGAAGCTTGAAGACGTTCAAGGTAAATTTTAAACATTTTTTCGTAAGTCGATAGATTTTCTGTAAGACCAAAACTTTTGATGATCTGTACACGCAAAAATAACTTGGAATAAACTGATAATCAGCATTGTACAGATAAAAGCAGGTATARTRTAAATTCAATTAAGAAACCTTTCAATTTGGGACAGTTTTTTGATTGGTTACCCCCCAAAGACGCAAGGCATTATGGAGATGTGAAAGTAGAGAATAAAATACTATTGTACCCAAGCTAGACCACAATGCACCATGCTCGCTAGCTCTGAAAAAGATAGTCATTTCTCGTTTTCAGTGCCCGCCTTCTTATTGTTCTTCGCCAGAAACGAAGAACTCCGGGCGAATCCTTTCAGAACTCTCTGTTTCTAGCGCACTGTTATCATAAAAGCCGATCAGAAAAAATCGGTAGATGGATTCGCACATAGCTCTTAGCTTTTTTGTCGGAGACCAGAAAAAAAAGTGCAGAGTCAAAAAAGAAGGATGTTTTTTGGGGTACCTGTTATCAGATTCATTGATGATATGGTTTCTTTTCTAGCCATGGCTGAGTATTCCAACCTGTAAAACAAAAATCCTTTGTTTTCAAAAGATTATAGTACCAGGGGAAAAAATAATGCTCAAATGTTTGATTGACAGGAGGTAATTTGAACATACACACCATGACATTTGAGTATCATTTCTTTGTTTAATGGTTGCGCATGAGAAGACACATGAATATAGACCTCCTCCGCTAGTGCGTAATGTTTTCCCATTTCAGACCACGTGTCACTCACTTGAGAATAGGATTCCATATTCATGCGTCTTCTCATGTGCGACCAAGTCAACCGTTATACAAAGAAATGATATTCTAGGCAATGACACGTAGTCTGAAATGGGAAAACATTAAGCTGATGTTACACTGGACGATTCGCAATGACGATTTTCCGCGATACGCCGTTGCGCGAAAAAATTAATGCCGTGCAACATGCCACGTACAACGATTTTCGGATTTAGCAACGTGTTGCAAGTTTCTAATTTAGCTTWAAAACCTTGCAACGCAGAATTGCGAATTTTTTGCAAGTTGATTCGTGTAAAGCTTCATCAACGGTTTTCCGCGCAACGTATACCCAAAATGCAGTTTAATACTCTTAGCGAGGCGATGTCAAATGACGTCGGTAGGCTACAAACAAGGTGGCGGCTTTGAAAATGATTTTCGAACCAACGTTGCGCAAAACGTTGACTYGTGTAATATGTATTAAAAATCGACGAGTCGAATCGCGAAAAATCGTCGTTGCGAAACTTCACGTGTAACATCAGCTTTACTTCCAAGCTCGCCCGAGCCGAGGAGGTCTATTGATACGACTCATGAAAAAGATTATCCTATTCTCAAGAGAATGACACGTGGTCTACTGGAATGAAAATAAAATAATATTCTACTAGAATAGATGTAACATAATCTCTGGCGCAGAATCTTATGACACAAACCATCTGTCATTCTCTAGAGCATCATTTATTTGTTTAACGGTTGCATGAGATGAAACATCTATATGGATAAAACTTAAACAAAGAATCTTATTCTCAAGAGAATGACAAGTGGTCTGAAATGGAAAAACATTACACCAAGACGAAAAAAGTCTATTGGATTCAAGATGGACCGACCCGCGTCTCTGTGACAATAATTCTTATGTCTTTTCGTTAGCGTCATGCGTGTCCTGCCAACAGAAATGTCCGTTACCCAGTTATACGAACTAATCCACCACGATTTTGTCAGTTTTCAAAAATAGAAGATCTATATTAATATACATTGGGAAATATTCATTTTTTTTTTCATTTAAAATTTCGCTTTATTTTTTTAGATTTTTTCTGATCAATAATACTCTTCTATATGAGGTGTTTATAAGACATCGAACAAGTGCAAGAATAACACCGTATTATTCAGGGGGAAAATGTTATTTCCTTGATTAAACAGATTGAAGGACAGTGACAACCAGGTGTTATACTTGATTAAATTTTTACCATCTAGATTTCATTTCTATAAGAGCTTGCGAAGTTTGTTATACGATAGATTGATGCGATGATTGTTTACTTTCTTCATTAATTCATTGCCGGAAATGTGTAAAAAAAAAAAACTGTTTCTTAATGAATGAGATGAATGTTGAGATAGATGTGTTATTAATGCGACAGTCTCCAATGGTCGCCAACTGTTATGTGCCTAAATGTATCAAAAAGTATTCTATAAATTACTTCTACCTTAACGAACCGAACAACCCTCCATGTAATTACAATTGTATTGCTGAAGGCATTAAGGCTTATCATCACAGTTTGGGAGTGCTTGTTGACGTCGGTAGGCTACACCTAAAAAATATACACAATTTGGTAGGCTAACTAGTATTACACAGAGTAATTTTCATCTAGGCCCATTCTAGTAGATCGAATTAGAATTTAGAAATTTTTTTTTGCGGAGGGAGGAAAGCCGGAGAACCTGGAAAACCCTCGAAGCACAGGAAAGAACCAACGAACAATCTAGTGACATGTGATGAGAGGCGAGCACCCAAGTCTGTGTCTACCAGTCCAATACGCCGGTATAGTAACATACCGATTACTTTTTGCTAGTAATATATTCATTCATTTGAGGAGAACTGAGCCACTAGTCAGTAGGTGAAGAGCTTGACTTTCTATAAAACTAGTGATAACCTTGAGCTGTGGTATGTTCTACTCGTTATCTTTCCCAAGGGACGGAAATGCTAAGAGCTAGGAACGTTATCTTATCCTCATTAAATAGAGGCTTGTTATCATTTTATTTCAAAATGCTCTTTTTGCTTACAACATTATTATATGATTGTCAGTGAATATTGGGCAAAAATATGTTGTCATGGAGAAAGAACTTATTAACTGACTTTAAACTCGATTCAATGAAAGGACTTTTAAATTCAAATAATATTTACCTTGCGGACAAAAATAATGATAAATATTAGTTGAAAGTGGTGAAATTAGTTTTCTATCAGTCATGGCTTATGAAAGTCAACGCTTATGACCACAAATTTGTTGCTATTTTTAACTCGTATCCTCGTAATCTGATTGGTTTGTCGGTCGCAAAACTTGTTGAAACCGATATTCTTGGGAAGGTCAATTAATGAATAAGCCTGAAGCGAGATGACGTTTTACCCCCGACTCTATACCATGATAGTTTTTWAAAATTCTTTCATATTAAAATTTTCGATTCCTTAGAGAATACAGGAACAATAGTCATAATTAAAGAACAAAAGCARTGTGAAAAGGATTATGGTCTAGAGACGGGGGTAAGACGTCATCTCGCTTCAGGCTTATTGCTTTATTGAATGTTTTCTTCATATTTCTGACAGTTGTTTTCTTTCTCCTTCATGCAAACGGCAGACGCTTTTCAACCTGTGAGTAGTCCATAACTAGTCATAGTCCTCTGACAATATAAATTTCTGTTCAAAGCGTCTGTTTATGAATAATATCGAGCAAATTTCATTCGCCCAGCTTCATTACTGGAGTCGTGTGCAATCGGTAAGACAAGCAATAGCGCAGCGCACTGATTCTAAAAATAGCTTAAAGATTCGRACAAACATTGCATTCTGTTTAACCGCTACGAGGGTTATACGAACCGATTTTATTATTTTTACTTAAAGTTACAATAATAACCCACGTAAACTAAGATCAACTGCGATCGRCTGTGAAAATTATCTGCTGAAAGTAAACTTGTAAGTTTGTTTGTCCGAATTTCGCCTTTGTCTTCGTTTTTATGACGTCACGGTTGCGCTGCGCTATTCAAAACTCAAATATTTTTCCACACTCCACAAGATGTCATATTATTTATGTTATATTATGTTGATATTTATTCTAACTGGTAAAGGCTCAATTTAGCACGTCCCTTCCGCTACCAGCAGCAGGGGATGTACTATCTTGCTGTCCCTTTTATCTTTCATCAATGCTCTCATTAGATGAATTGTTAGTCAAATGTAGTCTTCACACAGACAGCGATAATTAATCCAAGGACAACAAAAAAACAGTATCAAGAAAAGAAAAGAAAAAAAAAAACGGGGATTAAACGAGAGATCGTGTGTGGGCAAAAGACGATATTTTCTTGAATATACCCTTGACTATTATGTATTTATTTTCGATTCGTCTTGAATTTTCCTTCTCTTTAACTCTCCTGTTCCTTTTTCTTCCCTTCTCTTCACTTTTCTCTCCTATTTCCTTCCGTTTTCTCTCCTTTTTTCAGTCATTTTTTCTTGTAAAACAAATAGCATATGCTTAAAATATTAAAGACAAACCTAAGCAGTTCCCTTCTAATACCTAGACCTAAACAATAAAGAGTCAGCTAGATTACGAAAATATGGAGTTAAAAAGGATACCTTTTGGACAATACACTAAAGTACACCTATTTATCGATTTTTGCAAATTACGAGTATTCAATTTTTCTTTAAACGTTTGTTACTTTGAAAAGGGTTGTGTGTAAAATTAACACTTACATTATATGCAAATGATAGGATTTTACGTTTCATTGAAAAGAACTAGTTAAAAGCAATGTTCCCATTTTGGATACCTCAGAAAAACGAATATAAAAAGGGTTTYGTTGAAACAGCTTCGCTTGTCATGATTTTATGACCCACTTTGCTCTACCATTTTGTTTACAAAGCTAACAGCACCACACAAAAGTCTATTATAATCGCGCCCCTTTCATATCACAAGTTCATTGTAGCGATCCGCTTGTTACTAGCAAATCTCGTATATGATAAGCCTTTCTAACACCATTAACACCTATGGCTTTGAAATGTAAATAGTCTAAGTAATTAAGGATTACTTTTTAGATGAAAAAGGAATAGAACATCGCACCTTGTAGATTGWTTTTTCCTGGTTGTGGGTTATGTATTACTACTCGTATCAAGTACTCATTCTATTCAATATTCTAAGAGAATTCAGTACATCTTCCAGTTCGGTACATTCTTTGCACGATTTCCTGGTAAGAAAGTTATATAGTACATATATTTATATATTTAGTCTCAACATGCTTTTTTTTAAATTCAAAGAAAAATTCCCCCCCCCCCCCTTGTGATGTGTTATGCTGGAAATACATCATACATAAGAAATGTATTCTAATTCTTTGTTTGAAATCGGTCGCTTAAGTTCAATTTAGCTAAGATTTATGTTACATTGGGAGTGATATATTTAGTAATCTTGTATCTTAAATATGTATTACGAAACGAAGCCGCTCAAGTATATGATGGAGGTTAGCCAAACGGCAAATTCGTTGCTGAGGTTGATATCTTTTGTAACCAGTTATTTTTTAGCCTCGAAAATGCAACGTACATTTTAACCTATTCGATGTTTGGTTTTCTTCATTTTTTCTTTTTGATTTAATTCTCTCTTTTTTYCTTCCCTCCTTCCTTCCTTTCATTAATTCTTTCTTTCCTTCTTCCTTTCTTTCCTTTTTCCTTCCTTCCTTCCTTTCTTTCTTCCTTCCTTCCTCTCTTTCTCAATTTTTGTCTCTATTTTTCTCTCTTTCCTTTGCTTTTTTTATTTCAGTAATAACCTTCAATATTTATTCTTTAAAAAGGCCCTTAATAAACAATAGCTTTTATGTTCAGTAATTAAAGATGGCGTTCCCTGCGAATAGATTTTATTGTGTCAAATATAAACAAAAAAATCCTTTTAATGTCATTCTATTGACTGTAAACACAGATGCTATTTTGCTGCCACTTCTGCCTGTTTTTGAAACACAAAGACTTCAAGGACAATACAAATATGAGAGACCAATCAAATCACTAGAGCTGAGATCTATTATTACAGACAGGGAATTACAAAGTAACTTAACATATAGACCCATAGTGACCATAAGGACAATTTTCCTGTATGTGGACCACTGTTTTGCTATATTTGTATATTTTAACTTTCCCAAATTTGTCTCYACCACAACAGTGAAACACATTTTTGAATTTATTATAGAAAGGTACGAAGCTAGTGCAGAGGAAATTGCATGCAACCCTTTCCTTGCCTTTTTGCATAAGAGATGACTTTTCCTCTCTAAATTCAAATAAGAAAAGCCAAGTTTTTTATGGAAGTTGCCGAGTTACTTTCAGAGTAATGGCCCTGCAATCCTTTATTATGATATACATAATCCACTCCTTTAGTGAGACCGACGCAAGTATGAATGGGAAAATACTGAACTGATTGTGGTGCTTAATGAAATAACGTTGTATTCCAGGTTGATGTTCCGTGAAAGATGAGCTGCCCTATACCAAAGATACTAATATCGGTTGCCACTGTGTGCTTGGCTCTGGCTATACGTTCAAATGGTAAGGAACGTCCTTAAAATCTTTTTAAGACAAGTCTACTGATGGGTGGCTTCGGCATACCAATTACCTACAACCGAAATGTCTGCCACTTTTATAAGTTAGGAACGATCTCAAACCACCTATAGTGAACATCATCCAACATGCTTACCACTTTTATTCCATCATTACAAACTACCTATAGTGAACACTATCCAACGTGGCTGCCACTTTTATTCCCTTAGGAATGATTACAATCCACCTATAGTGAACACCATCCAACATGGCTGCCACTTTTATTCCCTTAGGAATGATTACAAACCACCTATAGTGAACATCATCCAACATGGCTGCCACTTTTATTCCCTTAGGAATGATTACAAACCACCTATAGTGAACACCATCCAGCATGGCTGCCACTTTTATTCCCTTAGGAATGATTACAAACCACCTATAGTGAACATCATCCAACATGGCTGCCTCTTTTACTCCCTTAGGAACAATTGTTGGGTAATTTCTAATCGGCATAATGAGTTAAAAAATTCATACCTCCACAGCGTATAACATCTCGGTAGCGGACGGCCTACACGACAGTTTCAATTGCACACAAGCAACTTCTATTTATATCAGCCACTCGACGTACGGTTGTCCAGCCCACGTGCCATGCGCGGTCGATCAGACATGTTTCCTTRCAGAAAAGGCTCTTATTGCAATGAGAGCTATGTGCCAGAATCAGCCATCGTGCCGCCTCAGCCCATCGCCCGAAGCATTTGGTTTTAACAGTTCGAGTTGTGCGGTATCTGGCCCAAACTATCTAAATGTTTCATGGTATTGTCAGAATGGTAAGTAACAAAGGATACTCTTAGTGTTAATTACTGGAGATCGAGATATTAGAGACCTTTGGCACGACGTTCTTGCTAGGTACCGCAAATCTGAAACTGCAGTTCGACTTCAGGCGTTTTCCGTCAAACTTTCTTTAGTTAGCGTGGCGTCAAGTTGTTGCTGGAAGAGCCTCCATATTGAATGTCGTTGATGCTGAGTGTTTCTCCGTGTTTGCAGGCGTCTTTCTGGGTCTGATCCCYAGCAGTGAGCACGGGTTAGCGGTAAACCTGATGCTAAAGTTCTCTAATAAGCAAATAGATCCCAAGGGCACGAGGAATCTGATATTGCTAACAGTCGAACCAGTTCATGCGTTCCTTTCAAAGTTAGAAGATTGAATATAYTTTTTTGATATCTGATTTCAAGTTTGTTTTGAAATTTCGATCTAAATAATCCGATCACACGAATGAACTCTATATGTGACGTTGACTTCGTTTGACGTGATGTTCTCTCCCTTGCCAGGAGAGATGGCGGTGGYGGTGCATATAATGGATAGGATTATGATGATGATGCATATGGTGATGCATTCGATGATGATGCATATGATGTTGAAGATGATGTTGAYTGATAATGTTGTTGATGATGTTGATGATGTATGTGATGATGATGTTGATGATGACCGATGGATGATGATGCATATGATGATGATGAATGATGATGGTGATGGTGTATATAATGTAGATGATGATAAAAATGATGTATATGATAATGATAATGATGGTGATGGTGATGATTACGTTGATGATATATTGATGATTTATGTGATGATGGTGCATATGATTATGATGGTGCATATGATGATGATGATAGTGGTTAAACATAGGTTCTGGCTATATACAACCTGCTTGTGTTTTCAAATTCCTTGCAGAAACATACAAAATTCTTCAAGAAAATGAGCTTCTGAAAATGACCTGTGAAGGAAGCGACGTGGTGGTTCTTAACAACATATATTGGAAAGGCTTCACGGTACCTACAGTGGAAAACGAGAATAACCAGACAAACCTGAATAACCAGACGAACCTGAATAACCAGAATAACCAGACAAACCTGAATAACCAGACGAACCTGAATAACCAGAATAACCAGACAAACCTGAATAACCAGACGAACCCGAATAACCAGACGAACCTGAATAACCAGACAAACCTGAATAACCAGACAAACCTGAATAACCAGACAAACCTGAATAACAAAACAGGTTCTGTCAATGGGTCAATAAACAATTCTTCATCTGTCAACCAAAATTCCTCAGCACTCAATTTTAGTATTCCACTACAAAGTRTAGGGGTCTATAGGTTTCAAACTCCCTGTAATGGCAAGAGTACTTGTCCTCTGAATGCCTCGACCAGTTTGCTGGGTGATCCATATCCTGGCGTGCTTTCAAAAAAGACTCTAGAGYTTCAGTTCACTTGTCAGCCAGGTAAGAAATTATTTCATTGAAACAAATTCGTGGTGCGCTGTACCAAACCTACTACGTTGTATCTCCTTGCCTGCCCTCTTCTCCAAACGTCCATCTTTCTTCATTTTCCATCCATTCTTTTATTTATATAAAGGTCTCTTGTTGAATCTCATGAATCTCTTAACCAGCATTCAGTGAAGCACTGCTTTCCATGCTCATTCATCTATCAACATTTATACTGCAAATTTGCGCCAATCAGTTGATAAATATTCCACGCAAGACCGAAAATGTCGCCAGTTGGTAACATCTCCTTCATGCATGGAAACCAGGAGCATCCTGTTTCTTGCGCCATTAGCCCTTCATTATCAGAAAATATTAGTCATACATTTATATACATACTTCCATTTTCCCATGTATTTCCATACTTCTCTAAATCTTAAGTCACTTTTTAGTCAACAGTGGTTATCCAGAATGGTCAAGCTGGGCGTCATGTCCAGAGGCTTGTGGAGTGCCACATTACTTGACACGAAAAAGAAGATGTGTAAACAACGGTGCAGATTGTTCTGGCCCACCTTCTGAGACCAAAAACGAACCTTGCTACAAAGACTGCAAAGGTAGCATATGTTTTCTTTACGTCCTCAGTGGTTCTTTTACGTCCCTTGGACGATTTACTATTTCATTTACAGTAGCGTATCATGATTTAGAAGTGTGTCAGCGTTTGTCTCACGTGCTAAGGAAATTTGGTATAACTGATCTAAAGCTAGTTAATTTACCCTTTTATCATTACTAAAGCTAGGGATTGTCTTCAGGTTCCCGTCGGAGGCATAACGTATAGTAACTACACATCATGACTGTAACCAGCTTGGATGATAATAGACCAATATGGCTAACGCAATATTTTACCCTATTTAAATCTACTGGGGGGGAAAATAATAACGATAATAACATGTCAATGAGCCAAATCATAGTTTAAGAATCGTTTTCAGTGCGCATTCTATTTTATCCCGAATTTCTGTTTAATTAAGAACAAAAGAAGGTTTAAACGAAGAAGGTGAGAAATTCGGGATAAAATCGAATGCGCACTGAAAACGATTCTGGATATGAAATGTAAATATAATAGAAAAAGAAAGTATTCCCAGTAGATTTGAATTGGGTAAAACATTACGTTAGCCAAGTTGTTCTACGGCACCATATTAAGGCAGTCCGTAAAGACCTCCTCTGAAAATTAAAGATTGTAACGTGCGCATTGAGACGCATGCGTAATGCGCTATATGAGAACCATTCATTATACCGTTGTTTCTTTTATTTCTTTTTAAAGCTATCAACATCACTGTATGTGAGAATGAAACTACGYATCTAACCTGTCCTCCTGGGACATTTATCAATTTCGATCAAGTGTTCTTCGGAAGGAAATCGGCAGAACCATGCAATAGTATTAATCAAAGCGTGTCTATTTCTTGCACGACACCGGAAACGGAAGTCTACAACAATATTCGAGCCTATGAGAGATGCCAGATGAGAAGCAATTGCTCTTTGAATGCCTTTTCAAGCATTTTCAAGGATCCTTGCCCTGGTTATAGCAAGTACTTGAATCTGGCTTATACTTGCACACCAAGTGAGTAATTGTGAATCAAAAACCATTCTATATATAGGAGAGTTAATAAGACTTTAGATGATGTCAATGATTTATATATATAAGCATTTTCATAAAAGAGTCATTAAAAACTTCCGATCTTTGACATCAATGACTGAAAAGATGAGCTTATGAATTTTCCCTTTTTTGTTTTGTTTTTCCATTTTTGGGTTGTTATATTTAGTAKCCAGATCTGTATCGATATTATTAACCCATTTAAAATAAATATATATTATGAGTGTACATATCGTAATTCATACAGATTAATATGCAAAGATATGTTAATAAACCGCATAGTATTATCACCACGATCATCATCACCACCACCACCATCGTCATCATCATATCATCATCATTGTAATCATTATTGTCCTTGACATCATCATTGTTATCAACATCATCATCATCATCATCACCACCACCACCACCTTCGTCATCATCATATCATCATCATCCTCATCACCACCACCATAATCATCACCATCATCGTCGTCATCTGCATCATTATCATCATCATTACCAACATCGTCATCATCTTCATCAATAAACCTTTTAAAACTTACCTCTTTCAATGCTTGTAGTCGTCGAGAGAGTATTTTACGACCACGACCACGCCAAGATCACCTGTTATGACAAAAGACGCCTTGTTCTGCATGAACAAGTCACGTATGGGTCGCCTGGCAACTGCTCTGACACAAAGGTTCCCTATATAAATAGAATCTGTGAGAAGAGCAAATGTGAAGTACAACCAGTCAATTCACAAAAGTTATCAATAAAAAACGAGCCTTGCAAAGGAATCGATAAAAGAATATCGTTTAAGTATAGCTGTCAACCAGGTAAGAAGTGGTTCAGTCAAAGAACAGATTGAGAGAATCTAATCAAACTTTAATGATCAAACTTTAAACCAATTCCAAACTCTCCRAACTTGCTTTACCACAATATTCAACTGCTTCTAATCACTTTAACAAGGGCGGATCCAGGAGGGGGGGGGGGGGGGGGCAAAGGGGGCCTGAAGCCCCCCCCCTTCGGCAGAAAAAAACGATGCTTTTTTATATTGTTTTCCGTTGTGTTGACGGAAGAAACTCAATTAGCCCCCTCCYCTAAAAGTTTTGCTGGATCCGCCCTTGTTTAAAAAGCTGTACATCATGTGGAGGCCGCGAAGTATGTGAGGTGCACGTGAGAAAGTTAATACTCATGCGCAAACCTAAATGACATGCTGCATTGTATCTTTAGATCAAGCAATATACACTCAATTGAAGAATCGTTGTCGGGTTCAGAAACATAGAACATAGAAGCTGAGACCGAAATGGCACATGGGGAGTAAATAAGCGGTTTCGTCTACGCTGCAACCTTTAAAAATGCGAAGCCAAACGGCTCTCAAACGCAGGTATTCTGAATACGTGTTTTAAACCGACTGTATGGATGGCGCAAATGAATAAAATCATAATATAATTGTCATTTCCCATGTGCCATTTCGGTCTCAGCTTTTCTGTTCTATGTTTCTGAACCCGACAACGGTTCTTTAATAGAGTGTATACCATGTGGACACCGTGAAGCGTGTGGGATGCACAAGAGGAAGTTAATACTCATGCGCAAACCTAACATGCTCCATTGTATCTTTAGATCAAGCAATATATACCATGTGGACATCGTGGAGTGAATGTGAAGCATGTGGAATGCACGCAAGAAAGTCAAGAAACCGGAAACTAAACAATGAAAATCAGTTGCTTTACAGTGAATGGCATGGTGGCGTTAGCCATGTACAAGATCACGAAACGTGCTACATTCCTTGTCAAGGTACAGTCTGTTAATAACCAAACAGAATAGACYCGAGGGTAAAAATGTACAGCGCGCATAATATTAACTAAAATTAATTAATTAATAGCATATACTGAGTAGAATTTCCCGATGCGACAAGATTTAAGCATCCCTCT